ACAGGCTGGCTAACACGTAAGCCAAGCTCATTTGCCAGCTGTACTCCAGAGCTGACACCCAGCAGTCTCTTTTATAAAAAAGACTTCTCATATGTTTGTGTTTGGAACCTGGAAACACAAACTGTTTTTGCTCATGATATCAAGCATTACATAGGCAACTATGTCTTCCCACAACACAGACAGACCTCAAAAGAATAAGAACCAGCATTTGCCAACTCACTGAAGGGCTGAGCTGGCCACTGATTCTGCTTGCAGTGAGATAGTAAATAAAGAACCTGAAATGAACACACATAATGCAGTCCTGCCTTGAATATAATGCCTTAGTTTTCAATGTATGCTCATCTCAGTATTATCAGCTGGTTAGGCTGTAGTCTAGGAAAGAATTTCTTGACTCAGTCTTGTTTGTCACCTGGTAGAAAACTTTATAGACTTTTTTTTGTTAGTTATATCTTCTTTTCTACAATCTATACTGATGTAGATGTATTAAATCCTTGCTTGATCTGACATTTAGCTCATTCTAATAATTTGTAATAAGAAGTACAACTGGGGAAAAAACTAAGTATAGTGACTGTTAGCTTTGGAAGGGTTAATAGCAAATTCCTTTCCTGACTGTGTCCTAATGGCTTGCTTTTTCAGCCCTGCCTCGAAGCTTCAGAGCCACTGCACCTCTGGCTACTAAGGAGCAAAGTAGATCTTCACCAGGGCAACTGACATCTGTATCTATTTGCATTACAATCCCTTCATTCCTATCAGCTGTGACTTGAAACTCACCCTGCCCTACAGCCATGGCTTCTCCACTTCCAGTCATGCTGCTTCCTTTCTCTCCAGCTAATAGGCAACATAGAATGCAGCAGGCAAGCAGTCTCTTTATCATCACATCTGACACTTAAAAAAAAATCACAGCAGCCTTCTGCAGTTCCAAACTCAGGTCTCAAGGAACACTGAACTATGAAGGAAAGGTTTTATTACTTGAAGAAAGACTAGGTCAGTAAGGACAAAAGCAGCAGCCTGAGACATTTCCAGTGGAAACATGCTCTCAGCCATGACCTGTTTCTGATCAAACTTGGGAAACCATTTATGGCAATTATGTGGCACAAAGACAAACATCACTGATGAATTTCACATTACTTAAAGACATCCAAAACTCCGTACAGTTGTTGTATGAAGTGAGCAAAACTGGAAGAGAACCAGACAAATCTCATCATCCCCTTCTCTTGCTTTCTCACAAACATTTATTTCTCAAAAAGAAATGAAAGGCATTTGCTGAATCATTCATAGAAATTCCTACCTAAATGCAGCATGGAAAATATCAATGTGAACTCTTAAATCTTTGACAGACTTTAAGGAAATATTCAAAACTGTCAGTATGAGGTTTCAATACATGCTGTTCTCAATTTTTTTTTTTTTTAGTTTTTTGATTGGTTTAAATTCACAGCTCCACCCACAGTAATACTAAAAATGCTCCTTTACTGGTGTGTATTAGCTTTTGCTTCTGTTCACCATGATTCTACTTCAAGCATTTCTAGCTAACTCCAAAACAGTAGCGTTTTTATATCAGAAACATTTGAACTGAAAACCAACTTAAAAATCAAAGTAAGCATTAGATTTTTATGTGAGTAGTATATAGTTGCATGTGAATATGCAATTATGTGCTCAAAAACACATCATCCTTAAAATTTACAAATTTTAAAAAAAGATCATATTTCATAGAAGCACAGAATGGCTTGGGTTGGAAGTTATCTTAAAGATCATTTACTCCCATCAGCATCAGAATACTCATACAGTTACATTTGTGCTGCAAAAGATTTCTGTATTATTGTATTAGCAGGGCTTTTACTATCACTTTTGCAGAAGTCTTCTTTCAGAAACTGATGGCAACCTTGCAAGGAGTTGTTAGCTGTGACTACTGGCTTAAGTAATGTAATAGCCAGTAATGCACTGAGCTTCAGTGTAGAACAACCTTCATCCACTGTTTGTATTTCTTTTTCATAGAGAATGATCTTCAGAACAGCAATACCATACTCCTTGGTCTTCTCATGATAACCCTTACAACTAGAACAGGGCCATACTTACAATTGTCTCTCTATCAGGGACTATTTAAGCAATCGAGAGGCACTGTTCAAAATGTAAATATGGCTGAGATGCTCAAAAGGATGTTTTGACATTTAATTTCTTAAGCTGTTACTAGTTGTATTTAACTGTGGCAATGTTTGCATACTATGTTTCAAAACCTGTAATACATAACTCAGCACAGATGCTTGCAGGCCATCTGTGTTTCCCTTCTTTGCTACTGAAGTAAACCTAAAAACAGAATACTCTTGTAGTTACACATGCCAGCAAACCAAGAGGCTTTTTAATATTTTAAACATCACACTGATTCTCTGTATATACTATTGACAACCTAATATATGCTCCAAGGCTCACAAAGTAAAGATACGTATATATGTTATCCATAAATATTAGCTTCAGATGATCAAATGACAGACTTACACTTCTGTATGACAACTTTAAGTTTTATCTATAAGTATATTTAGTAGTCACATAATAAATAACAAATATATGTAAAGATCTGAGGCTATATAAAATAGCATTCCATTGTCTTTAACAAGTTACACAAGAATGAACTTTCACTTCCAACATGTAGAATGGATGCAACTGCAAGATAAAAGATAGACAACATAAAACCTAACAGGAAGAAAATAAGAAAAAAAATAATCAACTTGTCTTTTAAGCAAATTCCTTTCCTTGGAAATTCTAATCATCGTCAATAGCTGGGATTATATAGGACTCAAACACTACATTTCTGTTCAGGAAAAACATTATGATATGAACTCAGAGGAATCTTTCAGGTTCTTTTAATGAGAGATATGCCACAAACAAAGAAGTCATCTAACCATGCAGCCATTTTGATAGAAGCATTCCTAATCTGCAGTTGTAAGTTATGGCATGATCTTTAAAATGGGTGTACTACATAAGTACACATGCAACAACACGGGTAAAGAAACATACTTCAGCACATGCAGAAATATGTTGATTATGGAGATCAAAATGAAAAACATTTCAAGTGTCACTTAATGTTGTTTGTAAATTCCTATATCAGTAATTGATGATGATCTAAGTTCTTATAAGTTCTCAATTCACAGATGTATTACACATCTGTATTACTCTCAAAACCAAATACTGTTATGGCTACGATCCTACATTATTCTATCATTCAGATTCCTACTGACATCAATAGTGAATATAAAAATTGCAACAATTAAAAAAAACATAATGGGAAAAAAGTACTGACAGACTTCAAATGAGTGCACGTACCACTTATTCTTTTCCAAAATTACTTACCAAATAATTCTGACATGCCTCTGAAATAAAACTTCTGGTATGTAAACAATAAATAAAACCCATGTTAAACCAAAAGACATTTAAGCATTTCGTCCAAAGTATAAACTGTATTTCAGCACATTTCATTTCTGAAGTACATTTTCCTGGTCTTTTTCCACTGAGGAAGGCAGCTAACCAAAAGTCGGATGCATCCAAACTTACCACAATATTCTCCTGAGAATGGGACTTCTTTTTCCTTGATTTGTTTTTGTCTGCTAGGCCAGCATGACGTCTGAAGATTTCCTCAAAGCGAACTTTGGTTTTTGCCTTTGCCTCACTTTCAACTGAAAAAAGTAAATTAGACTGATTCAAAAATGACTACTCCTATGAAAGTGCTTTAACATAACAGGAGGCAGTAATTACTTTATCAGGAAAAAATTTACCAAGAAATGTGTTTAGTATTCAGTTAAGAATTTCCACTGACAGTGTAAACTGCAAGAGGATCACTTGGCAACATGGTACAAACATGGCTGCTATTCACTGACGAGACTGGCACTATTTTTAATCTGTTTCCTGAATAAAGCAGATTTTTTAAACAGCACACACATCAGGATCAGCAAAAGACCTTGGGATAGCCAAAGCAAAGCACAGGCAATTGCCCTCATCATTTATGAACAGTGGTACCCTGATAAAAGAGGTTAACACACTGTCCCCAGGAAAAGGAGCAGCTCTGGGTTCTTACTGAGCCTGAAACAAATCTTCAAGAGGAAGAAGCACCTATGGATCTAAAATCAGCTAATGTTGAGAGCCCCCGCCTTTCTCTGAACCACAATATTGTTATCAGCAGCATTTTGACCCTTGAAGTAGTAGGTGTTCTAGCCCTGCTACTCTGTGCCTAGGTAATGCTTATTTTGTAGCTAAATGATTAAAAATGCAAACCAGCACACCACCAGAAAAGGCTACTGAGTCCTCAGCTAAAGCATATTTACCACTGTAATTAAAATATTTAAAGAAGCAGACAAATTTTAAAAAATAAAATAAAAAAGCAGTACTTTGAAAACCAGATACAATCATGGGCTCAAAACAAAAGCAATGCAGCTTGAAAAATTCATCAACAGAAGACGCTCCTATCACATCTATCTGTTCTATCTATTAAAATACACATTAGAAATTAAACACAAATATTCTTACCTGTTGGCATTTTCAGTCCTCAGTTAAAGGTGGTTCAGCAGAACAGCTGCTTCTTCCTCAGGATTCATCTTTTTTTTTTTTTTTCCAAAGTAATTAACAATTTTAATTAACACAACTGGTCCATGGACTTGAAGCTACAAATTGAATGCATCAAGTATGAGTAAGGGTCTTTCAGACAGTCTAGAAATAAGTATTTCTCTAAATTACAAGTTCTCTGCTGTCAAACATCAGCACCTAATTCAGCATCTAATACTTGTTATTTCAAAGCAAAAAATAAAAAGCTATAGCAAGCTAAATAGATATTTTTCTGAATAGCCAAGTATTTCAGCAGTGCAGTCCTCAAAGAACAAGCACTCCTACTGTACACTTCATTTATATGAAGTCATTTATACTGAAACTTCCCTAATCAGATTCCTATCTGATAGCATCTTAAAGAAGTCCCATTTTAGCCAACTGATAGCCTACAATGAAAAAGATTCACAGTTGTCAGCAAATCTGACTTCAGTGCAGTTCTACAAATGCTTTATGTAAACATAAATTTTTATATTTTGTATGAAGAAGACAAAGAATTACATGAAACCTTCCTGTAAAGAAAAAATGTTATGCCCTCCTGGTTGTGGAGAAAAGCTTGAAAATGCAATACAAAGCTGGAAGGCAAATAAAAATATTACACATATTTATCTCTTCATCAAGAAAAATGACAATGTTGTAGGGGAACTGCTAGGTCAGTTGAACTGGTGTTGGAGCACCTGATGAAGGGATGGCTGGCCCAGGGGGCACAGCTAAATTGTTTGCACCTATGTCCCCTACCTGACCAGAAAGGCTGGATCCAGGGTTGAGCTGCCCTGGGCTAATGTAAGGGCCAGCCACTGTAGGGAGGATCTCTCTTAGACTTTTTCCTAAGGAGGAGTGCTGCATAGCCGGAGAGCCCCTTCAGTAGTTAGGTGAGTTCAGCTCTTCCGAGATTATTGGTCTACCTGTGAATATTTTGCTTGGTATTGCCAAGAACACATCAGAAGCAATTCTACTTCCTTGTAATCATAATAGCTGTATAATAAAAAAAAAATGAAATTAAAAAAAAGCTGTTTTGTAAACAGTGGAATTAATGAAACCTACCTTCCTATGACCTACAAACGCATTGTGTTTCCCTTGGCCTTCTATGCAATACACTATCATCCCTACCTACCTTTCCAATAGCATGTCAGGCAAGAACTCCAAATTCTTCCTACATAACAGCCTGTGTTAGACACTACTCACACACTCACAGGACCTAGAATACAACAGTCCTAGTAAATTAAGATGTACTAGTAAATTTTACTAAGCTATACTCATTAATTCTCCCTAGAACAGCTTCAGTCCAAACCATCTAGCAGTCTCCTGAACAGTACTTGTATACAGATTAGGAGTTGGTGCAAATTATGTGCCTGAGCATCTGCACTATCGTAGCCTCAGGTTCCTCCTGTCTCTTTCAGTGTTATTTGCTTCTTCTTTAACCCCCACTGGTACAAGCTATCAATTACTTAGAGTAGCTTGGTCTGATAACTGACAAAACCAAACCAAATTAAGAAACAAACAAGCAAACAAAAATAGGCAAAGTGTATAGTTGGTTTGAGGTTAAATAAGTGCTGTTTAGTCAGTTGGCAAATGTTGTTAGTTTTATGTACTAAGCATCCAACAATGTAAGAACGTCTGAAATGCCCAAGGATGACCAAAGTGACTCCACAGGAAATGATCTATTCTGTAGTATGCTTCATCCTTTCACCCACCAGGGTACAAATATTTTCCCTTACTAAAAATGTTTCTACTTGTAGAGCAAAGCTTTATCAGCACAGTTAAACAGTGACTATTCAAAGTAACACAAATGCCTTATTCTTACAGGGAATGAAAACAGAAAACTCTACTGAAAGTACATTTGCTTTTGAAATTTATACTGTTAAACAAAACATGTCCATTTTAAAAGTATAGTTCATCATAAACTAGGAAAACACTCATAATTTGAAGGAGTAGAAAACAATACAATGATAAAACTTAGCATAGTAACACTGGGATCACTCACTGCGAGTGGCAGGAATGTGTAAGATTCTCTTACGATTAGTTTACTGATTTCAACCACCTCTCCAAAAATATAATTATAAAGATCAAATGAAATGATAAAGCGTACTTCACAAGAACAAAAAAGTACAAGATGACATAGAGCAAAGCAGTGCAGTAAGTAAAGTACAAACCTACTTCAAGTACGGACACAACAACAAGAAAACCTGCAGGCAAATTAATTTTGCAGATACTTTTCCTCATAATGGAACAAATACCTTTCCCAAGGCCAGGCTCATCTTACGTGACCAGTAGTCTCTGTGAAATGCATAGGTTTGCCAAATTCACCAGGGACTGCTTCATTTTCCATTTACCTCTGAGCTTTCAGAAAAAAAAGTATCTATCATCTTATCTCAATAAAATTGAGATTAAATTCTATAATGATAGTGCTTTTCTTTCATACACATTTCTAGTTTAGAACTACATGACATCTGACGGTTAAAGCAACTATTAGACTGGTGTAAATATAGATCATTAATCAACAGGGATAAGAACTGTTTATATAACATCACCTTAAAATAGGAGAGATTTAACCTTACATTAGAGATCAACAACCACAAGACCCCAGAATGGCCCAGGTTGGAAGGGACCTCAAGGATCATGAATCTCCAACCCCTCTGCCACATGCAGGGCCACCAATCTCCCCATTTAATACTAGACCAGGCTGCCCAGGGTCCCATCCAATCTGGCCTTGCACACCTCCAGGGACAGGGCATCCACAACCTCCCTAGGCAGCCTGTTCCAGCACCTCACCACTATCTCTGTAAAGAACTTCCTCCTGACACCCAACCTAAAATAAACTCACTGAGATTAATCTGGTAAATGTACTGTTGCCTGACCAGATTTAATCTTTTCCATGTTAATTAACATAAGGCAATCCAGAAACAACAAAAATGCTTATCTGGGAACAGAAGTCTATTCCAGCCATCAGGAATAACCAGGAAAAATAAATCATGAAATCTTTCAAGAACCAATGGAGACCTTCCAGAAAAAGCAACTTGCTCTTCTCTAATATTTCACAGAATCACAGAATTGCCAGGGTTGGAAGTGACCTCAAGGATCATGAATCTCCAACCCCCCTGCCACACGCAGGGCCACCAACCATTCCACCTAATGCTAGACCAGACTGCCCAGTGCCCCATCCAATCTGGCCTTGAATACCTCCAGGGACTGATTCTGCATCAATTTCTGTTCTTTTCACATTTGCAGTACAGTGAGTTGCTATATTCTGCATCTACAACATGGGTATTCTCAATATAAAACGTCACACTACCCTGGAAAAATGTTTTTATTAATAAATGAATGACAAACTCAAAAGCAACCTATATTATAATCACTGGAATTTGTATAAGTTGTACTATAGAATGGGAATTCAGAAGTCTTCCAGCAGCTCTTTGTTTATATCTCAACCCTTAGATGAGGTCAGTCATCTCACAGCAGGAGATCTTGGATTTTACCAGTAGGTTTCTCAATCAGGTATCTCTAGGGACCACTACCTCTAGATACACATAAAAGCTTTAATGCAGAATTATACAGGAAAATAATACTGAGTCAAATCTGTTCATTTTTACTAATCATAAATGTGAGTTCACAAAGCAGGGGCATCATTCCCAAAAATTCAGTATTTAAGTCAAGAAAGCTGACAGCCAACTTTATTAATGCCATGCAAGTATCCACGAACTTGCCTGTCACAACAGCCTATGAGAGCTGCACGGACATGCCTGCAAACACCCTGTGTTCACACTACCTCGAGAGGATATTTTTAAAAGAACCACAGAATGGCTGGATAAGAAGGGATGTCAAAGCCCACTCAGCCCCAACCCCTGCCATGGGCAGGGCTGCCCTCACCAGCTCAGGCTGCCCAGCGCCCCATCCAGCCTGGCCTTGAGCACCTCCAGGGATGGAACAAAATGCTCTCTGTTTCGCTTCGCACGGAGCAGTGGCGGCAGCGAGAGGGACACAAACCATCACTGCCCGCGGCACACAAGGCTAACCGAGGGGCTGAACCTAGGGCTGCTCAGCCTGTAGGAGGCTCAGCCACCACCGGCGTGTCCCCCCGAGCCCAGAGGCCCGCCCGTCAGCTCCACGCCGCCAGCCCTCCGAGCACCGCCCGTGCGCACCAACGACTGCGTCACAGCGCGCTCCGCATCCACCGCCGACCCCCGACCGCCAACGGGAGCCGGGAGAGACAGCAGCGGGCTGGAGGCGGATTCCAATCTGCCCGCCTCCGGACCCCAGCCGTCCGCTGCTTGTCGCGGCCCCGCTTTCCCGCCCGCCCGCGGCGCGACGACATCACTCACATCGGGCCCGTCCGCCTCGGCGGCACCTCACCGCCTCCCCCGCCAGTGTGCTCTCCCTTACGCAGCGCTCCCCCCTCCGCAACGCCGCCCAGGTGGTTTGGCCGAAAACAATCCCCGCTGCCAGGGAAACCGCGCGTCTGGCGCATGCGCGCGGAGGGGGGGGAGCGCTGGGTCTCGCTGGGGCGGAACGTGCTCGCGGGTCTTCCCGCCGGCAAGGAGCGCATGCGCAAAGTGTTGTCCGCATGTGGATGCGGTTGTTTGCGTAGTGGGAGCGGGCGGCCTGGCGGGTGTTTGTGCGCATGTGGGGCGGTGCTTTGCCGGTCTCGGTGGTGCTGGTGGCTCCCGCGCGCCTTAGTGCCCGGAGGTGGCGGGAGCTGCCCGCCGGCGGGACTCCTGGCGGCGCGGTGGCCGTGTGCCAATGGGTACAGCCTAGAGGCGGGCTAACGTGAAGGATTCTGCAGTCGTGACGTTCACAGTTCCCAAGGGAACCGTCCCTAGCATTCTGTCAGAAGAATGTAGCTCCTGAAATTGTTTACTTATATCTGAAGTACCAGTGGCAGACGCTTTCTTTTTCCAGTAGTTGCTTGCCCTCCCCAATCTGAAATGCATGTGTGCACCTAAGTGATAGGTAGGGAATGAAGTATCACAACTATTGCATTCGGAATAAACATATAGAACTTGTAAGCCAATTAGAATTAACTAGAATTACTCCGGAGTTAACATTTCTGTAGAGATCACTCCCAGGTTTACACGTATTTTTTTGTTTTCCTCATGCTTCGTACTTTCACGCAGTACTTCTTAATCTATTGCTAATTACAGAGAATTAGAATGTGTGTGGGAATATGTGCAAAACTTCCAGAATATGATGCTTAGGGTTGTCATCCATGATAGCCTGCTAGAGTTCTTATAAGAGTAAATTTGGTGTCAGACTTACAATATTAATTCTGAACTAGCATGGGTTGAAAAGCAATCATCTTCACTCCCAAAGTCTGCAGAGTTGTATATCAACTGGAGCTGGTGTAGATTGATGATTTAAGCACTATTCTTTCAGATATATAAGTTTTGTGGGGCTTTAAGGAGCCAATTGTGAGTCAGTGAATATTGAAGACTACCCAAAGCCATCTATGTACTATACTGAACTCTAAACTTAGAGATTGCTTGTGAAGTTTCACATTTATCTGGTATAATATTGCATAAGCACTGTCCTCCCCCATTAATCAGCCTAATATTGTGCACATACACAGATGTTCTAGCACTGTTGGCAGACTGATCTCAGTGACGAAATGAAATCCTATTCCATGGAAGACTTTTTGGACCAGCATACATAGTCTTCTAGTGGAGTCATTGTCATATTATGATAATAATATATCCACAAGCAAGGAGGTTGTGGATGCCCCATCCCTGGAGGCATTCAAGGCCAGACTGGATGTGACTCTGGGCAGCCTGATCTGGTGGTTGGTGACCCTGCGCATAGCAGGGGGTTGAAAATAGATGATCATTGTGGTCCTTTTCAACCCAGGCCATTTTATGATTCTGTGATATTAGGAAAAATAATTAACACTGCTTTGCCTTTCCATGGCCACACTGTGAGGGAAAGACTGTGCAGTGACAGTGTTTCATGGTGTATGCTAGTATCCCCAATACTGGATTTCAATAGCTTCATTGCAGATGAGGAAAGAGCCTAGAATTAGATTAGGGAGAGCAAAGGCTGAAGAGGTAGTTCTGTATCCTGTGCAGATATTGTAACAACTGAAGAAAGGAGAATTTGAGGCAAGGTTTTTGGAAGCTAGAAGTCATTTAGTTTTATTGATGACATGGTTTGTGTATTGTCTAGTTGGAAGGAACTGAAAAGCAAATGGTGCTGCTGTACCCCGCATGACAGTAATTTAGGAGGTGGGCTCTCTGAGGAAGGCTCGTAGCTAATCAAAATGGAGATGGAGTTCTCTTCACTGTATTGAAGCTTCTAGGTTATAATTAACATTCATCTAATTAGTTGAGACAGAAAGAAATATAGAATATATTGCTGTATTTGGCAAGCCAACCGACTTGAGGAAAGTGAGACGTATTGAAATGAGTAGTGATTAAAGTGATTAACCCTTTATGGTGAACTCCGAAGAGTGCTGTCACTCTTGAAATTATGCTTCCTGTTCAGATAAGTATTGGGATCAAATGAGAATCACCAGATTCTCACAGGTAAGAATTGGTGCCCACTGTATAAAATCACTTTCAGGATATACAGGATTGTAATTCATAGCTTGTCAGGAAGATATTACAGCAAGGCTGGAAAATGTCTTACTTTTTAAGGCTGTTGAAAGGCAAGATTGTGCAAGGCCTCAGGGCTTGGATGAAAGCTGGGCCTGGCACAGAGAGTGACATATGAAAGTTAGGATGCTCACTTACACTTCAAATTCAACAGCACACATTTTTACTCATTGACATTGAAGCCAGCTTTGATATTATCAAAGGTTTGGCACAGGTCAGCAGCAATAATGGGCTACAGGGCCTTATAAATAAAGCTGGTATCAGACATCAACATGTTTTTCTATTACTAGTACAAACCTGTGTACAGTTTCCAGGAATACTTCTTTCATAAAAGCATCTTGAGGAGTTCTGTAGCTATTACACTTACAAAGTACTCTAAGTATTTCTTCAGCCTGAGCTCTATAAACAAATATTTGTTAGAACAGTTTTCCATGTTGGAGGGGAATTCCATCTCATCTGTTCAGCTGGCTTTAGTTGGATGTTTTTGGGGAATAAGCAGAAAAAAACACTTCAGCTTTTGTTGATAGTCATACAAAATAAATGTAGTGTATTCTGTGATAAAACCAAGAGTATAAGTTTATGTCAAATTTGGTACCTTCATTCTTGGATGGTTAAAAATCACTATTCTGCCATTAAGAATATTCTGGATAGAAAGCTACTTTAAGTCAAGATTTGTCATGCTGATCTAAAGAAGAATGTTTTCCATATTTCTTCCTGTGAAACTCTATGTCTTATAGATATTCCCATGTGCTTTTCATAATATGTAACACGATCTGCTGATATTAGGCAGTTCTTTAAATTACAAATGACACTTATGCTACAGCTCAGAATGTTACAATGTGTAAGAAAGTCATTGTTACAAATATCCTTTTTTTTTTCTTTCTTCCTCCCCCCTCCCCCTCCCCCTTCCCCCCCCATTTCCTGATAGTAAAATGTATTTGGAAAAGATTTAAGCTTCACTTGTTACTGCAAAAGCAATGGAAGTCAGGGGGAGCGTCTAAGAGGTCCAGCTGGGAACTTTGTCAGCCCAGAAAATCATGGGATGCATTTTGTCTGTACTTGGATGATGTCTGGGTGACCAAAAAAAAGTATGCATATTCCAAACGCAGTGCATCCTACCCAAAAACATACCCAAAATACTATTTAGCTGTGTGGAGAAAAACAAGACTCCTGAAAAAGAAAGTTTACATGGGTACATGGAATTTTATTCTTCAATGAATTGGAAAGTCTGTATTCACTGTTTTCACCTTTGAAGTGAAGTAGCTTGTGTATCAAAAGTTTTTCATTACTTCAGTATGAGAAGTAGAAAGGGACACGCACAGTGATGTATTGTAGTCCACATTAAGAAAGTTTGCAGATATCATGTGTATTTGAAAATATTGTGGGCATTTTGAAATGATGAAGAATGGATTTTGGCTCTTGTCAGACAAGAAAGGTAAAATCTGTCCCATTCAGGGCACAGCCTCTAGGTGTCACTTGAAGGCATGAAATAGAAACTGGATTTGAGATTGGGCAATTTAAACAGGTCTTATTGGGATTCCAGCAGAAGTTGTTTGTGAATTATTTTCTCTTCATAGGCTAATGCAGTTTATCTTCTGGTGCACTGGATGTTCTGAGCAAACAAACTTTTTCACATAAGTTGAAGCTTGTGTAGTTTATGTGAAGAAATTTAGTGATATTGATTAGGAAAAGAAATGCCACAAAAATGTCTAACATCAGTTACCAGCTCCTTTAGTAAGCTTAGAAATGAGTCATGCAAGATACTTGATATCCTGAGATCAGTGTATCTTCCACGCCAGATTTTAGCACTTTGAAAGCAAATCATGAGGCCTAGCTATTTTGGAAATCTGATTTTCCCTAAATAGTTGGATAGTGTAACTATGAATGTCAGTACGTGCTTATTTGGCAGTGTAGATTCCTGTTGGCTTTTCTCAAAGCTTCAGTTCTTTGAGATGAAAAGATTTCCTTGTTAGTTCAGACCTTGACACAGCCCTTGAAGTTAGTATCTGTAGTTCAGTGGAACACACAAGCATGTAATATAGTCAGCCCTTTTCCAGTAAAGATTGCTTGCATGTGTTTCTGAATGTCCTTTACCCTCATTGACTTTTTTGAGCTGCAGTTATTGTTCTAAATTTAAGTAGAAAACGGATTATTTTTCCTTTCTGCTTTTTCACTTTATTGTGGGTGACAATTCCCCCAAAGCTAAAATTTCTGAAATGGAGAAGACTTCTTTCACAATCTGCTACAGTTTTTACCTGTAGGCTGAAACAGAAAATCAATCAATGCATTAATCTAAATGATAAATCTTTTGTCTATGTGAAGATGTTTTCAGTTTAGGAATCTTTTATGAAACTTCAATCTTAGTTGTATTAGTAATGGAGAGAGTTGGAACGAGGTTGAAACTAAAAAGTAACACAATCCTGTGATCTGGTGTTAATGGGCAATATTAGATTCCTTATTTTTGAATGAGTAATTCTGTTCTTTGTTTTAATCAGGTTGAAGTTTATAGGAGGTTCCTATCAACATTCCCTCTTATCTCAGGTTGTGTACTGATGTGTTCAGTTAACTATTCTTGATAATGTGTTTTATTTTTAGAACACGAGGAAGCATGAGATGAGCTCATTTTGTTTAACTGCCAGAAAATAAGGTTGCAGAAGCTGTAGATTCAAATTGCCTTTTCAGACAGAGAAGTCATCACCCCCTGCCACAAAGTTTTGATAGTGATTTCAGTAGGGTTGAAGTTTCTCCAGCACTATCTCCTGAACTATAGCTAAAACTCTACTGTTTGTTTGTTTGTTTGTTTTCCTGTCTTCAGAACAATAATATTTACAAAGTTCTTGAAAGCAGGTTCTCACCAGGGAAACTGTTTAGAAGCTGCTGGTACCTTGCCACACGATGGCAGAGTAACAGCATTTGTCACTGTTTTTTTTTCTGAAGTGTTTGAAAACACTGGTTGTTTTTTCCTGCAACTAAGTTCAGCACTATTTAATTTTTCAAAATGTCATTGTTTCCCTTCTGTGGTCACTGCATCTTTGCATACATTTTAATTACATCGTTTTCTATTTGTGTTATTTTTTTAGTTGTACAATATGCTTTAATTAAGAATAATGATAAAAGAATAATGATGAGAGCTTGGTTCTGCTCTATATCCCTATGGTACCCTGTGATTAATAGTTCTTTATTTGTAGACTACTTGTGGTCTCCATCTTTTCTTAGAAGACTAATGTATTCTTTAAAATGTTACTGTTGATTTGTGTCATCTGTATCATCAGGTCGTTTCAGAGATTTTAATTCATAGATTTCTGGTAGGTTTTTATATATTTGTTTTCAGAATATTCAAGCATACCATTTTAATCATTTCTTATCGTACTGGAATAATTTATTTGTTAGCATTATTAATATTTATCTCTTTCCAAGCTTCCAGTGGTTTGTTCAAGAAAAATCAGTATTCCTGCCAGCAAAAGAGTTCCATTTAACTTCAGAAATACTTCAAATTTCTATTGCAAACGGGCTGTTGGGCTGCCTTATTTTTGTTTGCTTCTGA